GCATGACCTGCTCCTCGAGCTTTGTTCCTGTTTTCCTTTTCCTCTCTGGTAGCGGAGCCTCTGTGTGCCCCTCGGTCTGGCCCCGGGTGATGGTTTTCCCATCCTCTCCCCCTTCCCCTGCTCAGGGACACCCGAGGAAGGTGTGATGTTACCCTGTGTCAACCCACCCCGCTGTGGCCCCTGTGCAACACCCCTGTGCAGGTGGAGGCTTGTGGGATTCCACTTGAAAAATTCAGGGTGGGATGTTTGGGTGCCAAAAGCACCTTGGCCAATTTGAGTCACGGTGGAGGAGACCCGAGAGGGTTGGAAGGTTTGTGCATCTCTTGGAGGGTCGGGGCTGACGAGTGGGTGCTCATGTCCCAACGCCCCACGGCTGGGGGGGGGCCCCCGGATGAGCATCTCCTGAGTTCTGCCCAGGGCTTCCTGTGCCTCTCAGCAGGTTGGGAGATGCGGCATCGCAGGCAGGGCAGGTAGGGGGGTCCCGCCTGCGCCCTGGGTGAATATGCAGCCGGAGCGGCAGGCAGTTGGTAACATGGGGGTTTATTTCAGATCCAGGTAAGAACAGGGAAACTGGGTGTTTCTGTCTGGGAGGAAACAACAAAACCTCGATGGAAAGTCCTGAGGCTGAGCCGAACCCGGCTGGGTGGGACGTGCGTGTGGAGGGGCTGGAGGAGGATGAGGATGGAGGGGCCGACCCAGCCCAGGGGGGTTACCCCAGCTGTGGCTCTGTGTCGCCTTCAGTTGTCTTCTCTCCAGGCAGTGGACAGGCGTCCTGCGGGAGAGGGGGAGAGCGCCTGTTAGTGCCCTCTTATCCCAAAACCTCCTCAAGAGCCAGGGATGACCAGGGAGGAGAGGGGCTGCCGATGCGGAACTGATCTTACAGCCCCCTAGGATTCCCATCCCAGCCAGCGGCAGGAGCTGGGGGGGGGCTCACCCGCCCTGGGGAGGGGTTCAGACCTTTTCAGACGTGAAGAACACCTCGTCCTCGGTGAAGCCCAGGCAGTGCAGTTGGGCTTTGAACTCCTCCAGGTGCTCCTTGCTCACGTTGGCTGTCCGTGCTGCCGGAGGGATGGGGTGATAAAAGGAGAAGAAGGGGGGAAAAAAAGGGAGTTTTAGGGGGTGCCTTGCTCCTTGGTGGTCTCCGTGGTGTGGATAGGGAGCTCGCTGCCTGTCCTCACCCTTCCCAAAAAAAAGTTTTGGGGGAAAAAGTGGCTTTTTGCCCTGCCTGCGAGGGCTGGGTATGCCCATGCCCATCCACATGTCCCCGGGCAGGGACGTGCCCCACGGATCCAGGGCAGCACCCACTCACCTGAGAGGCTCAGACCCGGGAAGTCAGCGTTGGTGTACTTCAAGATCAGCAGATCCTTGTCGCTTTGGATCAGTTTGGCCATTGACTCCACCTGGTCATTGACTGGAAGACATGTGGGGAGAGCAGGGTTTGCGTCACCTCCCGTGCTGGGACTGGCAGCGTGGCGGGGGCTGCTCATCCTCTTAGCCCGCGGAGACTCCTCCTGATGGGGCCTTGGTGGGTCCCACAGCACTGCCCTGCCCATTGCATGAGGAGGGGGAATTTTTTTTCCCCCACCTCCAGACATATTTTCAGGTGTAAAATGGCCTTGTGCCGGGTGCCAAATACCAGAATGCAGCTGGGTTCCCCCCACCCCGGCCCCGTGCCGTGGCTAAGGCTTTACCGTGCACCAGGGTGGAGTTGTGCCAAAAGATCCGGATCTTGCTGGTGTTCGTGAACACGCACGTCTTGTTCCTGCGAGGCAGAGAGGTCAGATGGGAAACACCCCCCAAACCGCCCCAGCCAGACCCGAGGGATTCGGAACTCGAGCCGGGGCTGCAGAGCTCAGATAAACTCGGCACAGAAGCTCTCCAGCCCGGAGGATGGGACTAGTGGGCGGAAGTGCTCCTGGGGACAGGGAAGCCAGGGAGGGGATGAATCCCTGTCCTTACACTCTCATGACTTCAGTGACATTGAGCTCATCCTCATGGCTGCCAGGAGAGAAGGAAAAAGCTGCGTATTTCACTGCCTTCAGCTCCTCCAGGTGAGGTGGGTACTTGGAGCCGCCAGTGATGTAGATCCACTGTCCCAGGAGCTGCGGAGAGGGGGGGAGCGGGGAGGGATTGAGGGGAGCCACGTTGGGTTCACCCACAGGCACTGTGCAGGTAAAAGCCAACGCTCTGCCCTGCTGTCCCACAGCCACCAGCACCCTGGCACGTGAACGTCCCAGGCAGGATCCGGGCTGGGTGAGGGACTCTTGGTTTTGTCCCTTTCCCGCTAAGGTGATGCTCCAGCTCCCGTGATGCCCAGCATGGTCCTGCAGCCGTGTCCCTCCTGCACTGTGCCCGGCTCTCCTTACTTTCCTCCCATTAAACATCCCCAAGCAGCTAAATGCTCTTGATGCAGTGAAGGGTTTTGTGGGTGGAGACTCATGACCCGAGTCCCCCTCGCTTGAAGGGCTTAAAATAAAGTGGTGAAGCACCAGGGCTGGTGCTGCCCAGTCTGGTTTGCATGGGGAGAGATGGATCAGGAGCCCCCGAAAGCACCTGCTCACAACATTATGGGTGCAGAGCTGTAGGGCTTCACCCTGTCCCCTTGCTCCTGTGCAGCTGTCTTGTGGTTTTTTAGGAAAATAAGCATGGGTTGGCAGTGAGAGAAGCCTTGAGCTGCTGATTGGGTTCATAACCTCTTCCTGCACCTGTAGCAGCCAGTGATGCGGCTCGGGAAGGTGAGGATGGGCACCCTGGCCGAGGGCAGGGCTTACCTGAGAGATGGTGGCATTGTCCAAGGTGACTGGGACGAGTGGGGCGCAGGTGGGGGGCTCGGCAAGGGCGAGCGGCAGGCCCAGGAGGAGGGCGAGGGAGGCCAGCATGGCCCGGCGCCTGGGAGGAGGTTCCTGCTCTGGCGGGACGCGGCTCCGCTGCGTCCCTTATATACGGCTGCCGGCAAAGCTGGACGTCCCCAGCGCCAATGTGCTTGTTCAGGTGCTGAGCTGTTTGCTCAGGCATGAAGCAATAGCAGGTGGAGGAAATTAAACTTGCAAAAGCCTGGATTTCCCCAGCAGAAAAGAGGAAGAAAACCCCCATTTCACCCACACAGGCTTTTGTTCTCGGAAACTGCAGTTAATTTTGCGGGTGCCTGGCCAAGTGCTCGCCTGGCTCCGGGTGTGTTTGGAGGTGTTGGTGGCACCAAACAGCACCTAGCTGGGACTGTCTTCCCCAGGGCAAATAAATCCCCATGGCGATGGTGGGTGGTGGCCGCTCACCTGCGGGGCTGTACGAGCTTTGGGTCTGCACCAGCTGCGCTCCTGGCTGGGGCACGGGGCTGGCGCTGGGGCTGTGTGTGCTCTTGGCTGAAGGGGAATAGTGGTGGGATGGTGGGGATGCTGCTGGGGCTGTGGCCATGACCTGGCGCTGCAGTTCGGTGTGTGCAGCAGGATTAGGCACCGTAGAAGCTGTGAGTCCTCAGCGCAGGAAAGACACGGAGCTGTTGGAGCACATCCAGAGGCGGCCACAAAGATGATGTGAGGGCTGCAGCACCTCTGCTATGGACACAGGCTAAGAGAGTTGGGGTTGTTCAACCTGGAGAAGAGAAGGCTCCAGGGAGATCTTCTAGCAGCCTTCCAGTGCCTAAAGGGGCTACAGGAAAGCTGGAGAGGGGCTTTTGACATGGGCCATGTAGTGACAGGACAAGGGACAATGGCTTTAAACTGAAAGAGGGGAGATTTAGACTAGATGTAAGGCAGAAATTTTTTATGGTGAGGGTGGTGACGCATTGGCACAGGTTGCCCAGAGAGGTGTAGATGCCCCATCCCTGGAAACATTCAAGGTCAGGTTGGACAGGACTCTGAGCAACCTGCTCACTGCAGGACATTTAGACTAGATGAGCTTTAAAGGTCCCTTCCAACCCAAACCATTCTATCATTCTGTGATAAGCTTCACCGTTTAAAACCAAACCAGACCACCTACCAGCTCCTTCTTCCTCTCAGTAGTGCCACTTCCCTGCCCTGGCGCCTGAGCTGTCCCTGTCCTGGCAGCTTGGTGGGATCTCCCAAGCTATGAAATTTATTTTTTTTTTCCCCTTTCCAGCCGGGCTCCCTGGCCTGGCAGCACTTGCTGTGTGTGGCTTGTCTCAGCCTGGCCTCGCGGTGATAAAGTGGCCTTTGGGCTGTACATGCCGATTCCGTAACCCATTAGTGTAAATAATCTAAACTGCTAGAGACAAGGACTTGTTTACTAAATCCTGGCTTGGGGGGGTGGTACGAGGCAGGGGGTCCGCCAGTGCAGTGGGCTCAGGCGTTTAAGGAAATAAGTTACAGCTACTGTAAACGCAGAAATTTCTCTATTTAAGTGTCTTGTATCACCTCCAACCTTGGCCTCGCAATTAAGTACATTGATTTATTTATTAAATGTGTTTGCTTTTCCCTGACCACGAGCAACGTGTTTCAGGAATGGCTGGTTCACCTGAGAGCGGGGCAGCCCCGGCCGAGCTGGTTTTTAACGCTCTGCCAAAGCTCTGCTGGTGCTGTTGCCCTGCAGCCCCCACCGTGCCCGGGAGTTCCTGCAGCTCCTCCAGCCATGGGAGCGCTGCCGGGAACGGGCACGGCACGGGGTGAGCAAACATGGCATCGCCCCTTCCCGCTGCTCCTGACGCAATCCAAGACCAGCCAGAGCAGCTCCTGTGCTGGGGTGTATGTGTTGGCAACCTCCTAAGCAACAAGTTGGGTGTCAAAGTCAGCTTGGAGCAATTGAGACGTGATTTGGGCTTCAGCAATGAAAAAGAACAGCTCAGCACCTTTTTTTGGTTTAATTTTTAATTTTTTTTTCCTCTTCCTTCTTGCTGTGTCAGGGTGGGGATGTGGATGATGAATGGGCTGGTGGGGTGATGTTGTGGCTGCCCCATCCCTGGAAGTGTTCAAGACCAGGTTGGATGAGGCTTTGAACAACCTGGTCTAGTGGAGGGTGTCCCTGCCCATGGCAGGGTGTTTGAAACTGGATAATCTTTGAGGTGCCTTCCACCCCAAACCATTCTATGATTCAATGTACGGCGGTGGGGAGCCATCAGGATCCCAACCCAGCCCAAGTTGTGCATTTTGTAATGTGCTGAGGGCTGTGTGGGTCATGCAAAAAACTTTGGGCTGGTCACCAACACCAGGAGAAGGGTTTCAGGGTGTGGGTTGGGCCCTCTTGGGGTCTTTGGGCTCTTGCCCCAATGTTGGCACCCACGGGCTATTTCTGCACCTCTCACCCACTTAGTTTCCTATGAAGAAGCGAAAAGACAAAAAAACAACTATACCAGTCCCATTTCATTGCCTCAGTTTTAAATATTTATTTAAAGTAAAAAAAAAAAAAAACCAAAAGGGAAAAGAAAAAAAGCTTTAACGAGAAAAAACGGTAACTCCAGCCTCAAGAAAACACACAAAACCGAGGGCGAGAGGAAGAGAGAGGGAGAAACTGGGAGCGTGTGTGCGGGGGGGAGGCAGCAAGCGGGCAATGAGCGATGGTGATTTTGGGCTGGGGGTGCCGGGGCGAGCCGGCCCCGCGGGGTGAGGTATTTCTGAGCGGAGGCAGGGCTGCGTGGAGGGTGAGGTATTTGGGACAGATCTTGTTAAGCTTTTCCCGTGGTTGTTGGAAACCAACCAGCAGGCAGTAGTAAAAAAAAAAAAAAACCAAACAAAAAAAACCAAAACAAAAACAAGAATACACAAAGAGAGAGTCACATATATTTTTTTTTTCCTCAAAAAAATAAAATCCATAGTCCATATGAGACATGAAAACTCCAAACAGGCACTGAAGCATTTCCGATACAGTACAGCTCCGATTACATCAATATTATTCCTTATATAGAATTAAAGATTACCATAATTATCCTCTTTAAAAAAAAAAAAATTCCTCCAAATTTACATATAGAGACTAAATTTCTACAAAACTTAACAAAACAAAACCCCTCCAAGCCCGGCTGGGTTCTGAAACAAGGTACCATCATGTCAGCCTTGACAGAGGGGCCAGACAGAAGGGTTGCAGAGCTGGGTTTAAATCCGAGCTTAGACCAGGGAACGTCTGCGCGTGCCGGCCGGCACGGCCAACGCGCCGGCAGCAAAACGAGTTACATGACAACCGACTCAGAACGAGCTCTCTCCGAGGCTCAGTGCTTCCAGACGAGCTGTATCCCTCACTCCCCTCCCAAAGCAGTGAAGTGCTGATTGAAAAAAAAAAAAGAAAAATAACAAAAAGGCAAATTTGCTTTTAAAAGATCCCGTAAGTTATTTTGGACACGGTGTGAGTTGTTGCGCACGATCGACGTCGACGGCCGTTAAAGGATCCCTTTAAAGGCGGCTGTTTCTCTGGTTGAGCTGTAGCTCATGACCTCCTCTCTTCCTACAGAGATGGTCCTATGGGCTTTTTTTTTTTGGGTCTGTGGCAAGACACTGTAGCACCTTCACAACCTTAAATAGTTTAAATTCATATATATAAAATAACACACTTTTTTAAGAGCACCAGAGATTTCACAGTGAGAGGTAGAAACAAATCAGACGAGCCCATCCTCTCTCTCTATTTTAGCACCAATCTCTTCCCCTCTCCTCCTTCCATTTCCCCTCTTGGCTTCGGGAGTCTCCCCTATCCCAACACCACACATGAGAAGGGACTGATTAAACTCATCCATGGAAGGAGTAACTTAGTTTTTTTTTCTGTTCTTTTTTTTTTTCTTTTTCTTTTTGCTTTTAAATAATATAATATATATATTTTGTTTCTTCTAATATTGCACATCAAAATGTTTCCGGTACACAGAGCAGCCAGATTCAACTTGCAGCTCCGCCTGGGAGACCTGATGCAGCATGTGGCCATCCAGAAGGCAACGAGCTCTGAGAGGGAAGCTCTATTTTTAATTACTTTTCAATGGAAAGAACATTTGGTAACTCAGGAACCAGGTAAGACAAAAATGGAGGGGGGTGGGGGGAACCCAAAAAACCAAAACACACGCTGCAAGTTGCTTGAGGTTTCTCTCAATATTTTCTTTGGTCATGGAAAAAGCTTTGTGTGTGGAACTGCCTGCAACATCTCGTCCCCTGATCCCTTTTCACTGTTCACGTCCTGATTGATACCCGCTTCCCCTACGGCCGTGTTATTCCTCGTTATTCCTTGTCATTCCTCCTTTCAACAATCTGCTGAGTTCAGTAGATCACGGGTTTGTTGAGACCTTGAGCCAAAGGCTAGAGCAAGAGTTGACCCAAAAGCTACAGCGCAGCTGTCCTTGCTGCAGAGAGGTGGCAGAGCCCGTGCACAGACACCGGCCAAACGCAGGGTCAAAGCCCCGGAGCCCGGTTTTGATGGCTTTGTTCAAAGGAAGCACACGGGGCCGACCTCGAGGTGGTATTGCTTTCCTGGCTCGGATGGGGGAAGGTTGTAGATGTTGACAATCGGCAGCTGCTGAGGGTCCTGCGTCCGAAACGAAAAGAGAGTCCGATGCCAGCGTCCGTCCTTGATCTGTGCAGGGAGGAGGGAGACAGAACAAGTTGTTTAACTGGGGAGGGGTGAATCCTGCTGGAACGGAACCTGTTTCACTAAGGTATGAGGGTGAAAAGCCCCGTGTGAGACAAGGGGCTGCCCTTTGGGCTGAGCAGGTCTAGGGGGAGGCTTAGAAAGTGTTTTGGGGAACTCTTTATTCAGGTTGAGTTGATGGAAACGGAGCTTAAAAGGGCATCACCAAACCCAAGCCCTGGTGCACTGACCTGAAACGCAGCTACATGGCCGACCGCTGCACGTGGCATCAGGGCAGCGCCAAGCCCACCACCGGCGGGTGGTCTGCCACCTAACTGCTGCTACACGCGACATGGAACTTTGGAATTTAGTTTTTCGCATTCTGTTTGAGGGCGATCTACTTAACAGGAGCTGCTTACAGCCCCCTGGGCTGGAAAGTCAAAGTGGTGAAAAGGTAAACTAGACCCTTTTCCCTCTTTTTTTGAGGGACAATAAGAAGCACAAGCATAACTCGAGCCTCGTTGTGTGTCCCGAGCGGGTTCAGCCCGGCATTTCTCTCCGCCTCTCCCCTCTTTTGCAGCAACGTACCTTGCAATCATCAGCTGCCACTTCTGGCCTGAGCTGCCCATCTGCCTCAAACATCTGCCCGTTCCAGGCCTTGAACCGCACGGCTTTTTCCGAAGGTTTCTCGGATGAGCCTTCCCGCCAGACGGAGGTATTCAGGCAGTGGATGGTGATGTGCTGCACCACCTCTGAGCTGAGGAGGCGGAGGAAGTTCATCTGGACTCTACCGATGTCAAAATCCAGCTGCGAAGGTGACAGAGACATTTAGGGCAAACCCCTGCAGCGGGGCTGGCAGGAGCCAGGAGCGGGGATAGGGCAAGATGTGACAGCAAAGGTGGGCCTTGAACGCCCAGTAAGTCCAGAGGTGGCCATGCACAGATGTCCAGAACTGGATCTGGCACGAGTATGGGCATAAGGGTCAGATGCCAAGTCAGTCTGGAAAGTTTTCAGGGGGACACAGCAGGTCCTTTATTTTTCGGAACCAAGTGGCAGGTCCTTAAGTAGGAGGAAAATAGTGTGAACTTTGAATTTGATACATGCCTCTGCAAAGATGCAAAGCAGCAGGCTCCAGTGGGGACCGCGGAGGAACCCAGATATTGGTATTGGTGTTTTTGGTACAGGTGCTTCCTCGAGAAAAAACCTGTAGCATTAACTGGAAACTTGTATATTTAAGCTGACCTCACTTTTTCAGGTGGCAGAAAACAAAATGCAAGAGTGACCTGACAATAAATTAATTCAACAAAGCATTTGGGAGCAGCGTGTTTGCAAAATTACTGGCCTCCGTTAAGGTTATGGGTTAATTAAACATTGCTGGAAACGTACTGCTTTGTCTTGACAAGAGTCAATAACAGAATTCGGTATATTTTTTAACTGTATGAGAGCAGTCCTGAATGTTGCAGCTACACCACCGAGGAGAAACCAGCATGCTCTGTCATAGTGGTTACCGTCCAGTGTCCCGGGACGACACATCCCTGGGTAAATATTTTGTAATAGTAGTATGGGAAATGCCACGCTGGGGTCAATCTGCATGTACCTTGGAGACGGTGATGGGGCTGAGACACGTCTGCCCACCATTGGTGAAGTTACAGGTGACCTGTATGGTGTCTGAAGAACAGCCAAGGTTTGGGTCAATCCAGTAGGTACCTGAAGAGATGGAGGATTCAGGGATTAATAAGACATTTAAACTTTTCTGTGAACGAGAAAAGGAAAGTTTTGATTTCTGCATTACTGGTCCCGGGGAAGGAGACCTATTTGGGCCACGTGAAACGGCCCTATGGAGGATGCAGCCTTTGCACTCTCAGAGCTTCCTACCATCGTTCATCTTCTGTTCACAGTTCATGAGGTCTCGACAGATGCGTGCAGGGTTTTCCTTGGTCCCCAGGGGTCTTTTGATGCTCTGAATGAGGTTGCTGAGGTAGTGTAGAGTCTTAAAGATCTCCCCTCCGTGGTCCAGCATGAGAAAGTCTGGATGTTGGTAACCCTGGAGAGAAAAGGAAGGAAAGTCAGGTGTGCCCTGGGGGGCATCAGGTGCTATAATCACGAAGGTTTCGGGTTTATCTGTGGGAAAACTCAGTGGGCCAAGGACAGGCTGTGCTGGTTGGGATCCAGTGAGCTACAGCCCTGGCACTTTCCTGAATGGGACATCTCTGAAGCACTGGCAAAGTCATGATGGCAAAGCTTCATAAACGAGTAACACCACAGAACCACAGCCTTTAACTGGATCTTTGCGTGCATAAACCCCAGTTATTCCAGCAGAACAATGACAAATCAGAGCTTTGTGCGTACAAACTTTAAGCACACGAAGAACAAGAAACGCTGTGACTGTCTCCAACCTCCAGTTCCAGCAAAGACCAGTGAGTTCAAAAGTACTCTCATACCTCTGTCTTGAGCGCGATGTTCGAGTCAAGGAGTGTCTGGAAAGCTGCCCCAAAGCCGTCTTGTTGCTAGTGTGGGGTGAAAAAGATGGTAACTGAGATTGTTAGAAGCTGAACATGCCCTGCTGCAAGCAAACGCTTCTCGGTCTAGGGCTGCGATTCAAGTATTGCTTTGCTAATACAGCATCTCTTGCTGGACCTGAGTGTGTGTCTCCAGGGTCCCAGCAGGTCTTTCTGGATGTCCCATCAGCACCTTGGCTCTGCATGACTTATTATCATCATTAACAAACGTACAGAAAACAGCAACTTACAAATGAGGCTGGAATTCCTGGCGGTCCCTAGAAATCAAAGCAAAAAAGGGGCATCAGCCAGAACATGGGCAGTCGCTATTGCAAAGATATTCAGTCACATCCTTTTGAAACCCTCTTTTCCCTGGAGTCCCTCAATGCAGACGAGTGAGAGAGGCAACAACGCTGTCTCTATAAAATACTTGGAGATGGTTTGGACTAAAGCGCAAGAAACACTAGTCCATTCACACACACATTTTTGCATACGAGGAATGGGGCTAAGCTATAATTTCCAGGGAGCGAACAGTCCCTCTGGAGAGTATCATGGCAATAATTTTAGCTTAGTTCAATAATGTCTTTGAACTCTTTCCACATATACGTACCGGAGGGCCAGGGTGTCCTCGTGGGCCTGGAGGACCCTAAAGACAGAGTGGCATCAGTTAGTGAAACGTCTCCAGTTTGTCTTTCCATTTCTCGTGGTTGTCACCAGCATGAATCTGTTCCCTGCTGAAATCCTCCAGATTTTTGACACTTCACAGCATCTTCTCCCTCAAACCCTTCTGGAGACACGAGGTGGTCCCATTTTGTCCATCTTCTGACTTCGAGTGTATCTGGTTGCACCTGGTCCATTCCTACTGCATCCCTTGTATCCAGCCTTTACCTCCTTACCTAGCATTAATGCCATATCCCCAGGCACTTATCACATTCCCTGTATGTACAATTACCTACTCTGCAGCTTTACATTTGCTAAGAGCAACTGTTTTATTTAAGTAAAAGATATTAGTCAGAAAAAGTGATTTCAAATACTTACCCTTGGACCTTGAAGACCCTGCAGGAAAAAAAAAAAGGGGAAAAAAAAAAAAGAAGCTGTCAGAAGATGCTCATTAATAAACCAAAATCTCCCTGTACAGTGTGTGCTGTTCCCAAGGTGCCTGTGCAAGGACTGGGTGCTGCACTGGAAGGACAGTTTGCCAACAGCAGAGAGGTTATTGCATGCTGATGGCTCTGACACCAGTGAACGCTCGCTCTGAGGCTCAGGTCCCCGCCAGCACACTGTCCTCTGCTCTGAAACAGTGAGCAAGAAGTGACAGAGGCAGCACCCTGGCTTGTTAGAAATGTGCGCTGGGATTTTGGGTGTCTGTCGGACACCTGCTTTTAAGAGATCTCGTCTGAAGAAGGCACGAAACAGTTCTGCACTGACCACACAGCTGTGTGCGCTGGGATCTGATGTCTGGCCCAAGCCCTCCCATGCAGGACCAACCAACCACTGGTTGCTAAAGAGAGCAACCAGAGAGCGGAGGGACCTGTGTCATGGATGAGAGGAGGATGAACAACACATATCCAGTGTACCCCACACATCCCCTGTATGGTGGGAACACCAAGGAGCTATGAGAAGGTCTAAAAGTCCATCAGAGCCCTGCAAGAAGGAGACCAGAGGAAGAGCAGAAGGTGAGAAGGCGCCCTGGCACTGCTCCCCAGCACCTGGGCACTGCTGCGGCTCAGCCAGGTCCCGTGCCCCTGGCAGGGACAGCCTGTGGCTTTTTGAGCTGCTGCTCACTGTGGCTTGTCCTGGAAACACCACGGTCATCTGTGAAGTGTTAGCTTTTGCTGTGTGATTGAGTTAAGTAAACGGAAATTTTAACAGCAGAGCGGGTGCACACGTGGTTGCGTGTGCACATACGTGTGTGCACACATGTACAGGTGTGTTTGCCTCATCCTCGTGGGAGCCTGACGCCGCCGCACTGAGCCCAAGTGGGTGCAGCGGAGCCCAGCGTGGCTCTCGGTTGCCCAAAGAGAGGGACCCTCTTACCGGCAGGACGCACCCAGGGGTGTGGGGCAGCACTTACCGTCTCTCCGCGGCTGCCTTTGTCTCCCTTGGGCCCCTGTTAAAGGACACGAGGTGGCTGTCAATGCCTGTTCGGAAGCTGTTCTGCCAGGATAGGTCACCACCCAGAAGCTCCTTGCGAGGACCCAAGTGAATCTCTCAACAAATCAGCTCAGGATGTCATATTGGCCCACCCATCCCGAGGAAAAAAACAGTCCTTGCTGGATGTTTCAGCAATGTCCGAGTTCATCTCACTGGTTTTCATTCCTGCCAGTAGCAGCCTCTGTACTGAACTCTGAGTAGCTTCATACTCATATTTTCACGAAGCTCTGACCTGAACTTTAGTCCGTGGTCAGCCCCTTTGGCGTTTTGGGGCAGGCAGGGGTTTTCAACACTTCCCAGAATCAAGCTGTTCCCAGTTTAATACATGTATCAGTTTGTTTTATTTTCCTATGGTTTTTTGCCCCCCCCAGGCCAAGTTCTTTGGAAAATCTGGCAGCTTGCTGTTGAAAAACTGCAATAACATTCTTGTCTTCTAGCCTGAGCCAATCTATCGAAAAACTTGCACTTAGGTAGAGTCGCTCCTCACTTTTAAGCTAATAACCTCCCTGCAACTATATATGCAGTCAGAGACTCAACCTGCACTTCTCTCCAGCTGCTCATCTGAAAGACCATTTTGTTTCCCTCACTACAGCGGACCTGAGATTTACTTATGTTGGCCTCAAGCACCTCGGACGCCAAACACTATGCTCTTCTAAAAATACAGGCAGGAAAAAAAAAACGTAGATACTTACTGGGTTTCCCATGGGACCCTGAATGCCAAGCGGACCAATAATTCCTTCTTTTCCCTAGAAAAGAAAAGATATGCGTGAACCATCACATGAGAACTGACGGTTGCTTTTACTACAGCAGACTCAGTAAAGACACTTGAATCCCTTTGCTGCTTTTCAGCAACACGATCGTGGTATTTGCTGTAGCTGAAATAAAAACCTGTTTCAAACTGCAAGTCTGAAGACACAAGCCCTCACAGTACGGCTGTCACAACCCATGTAAAACCTCAGAAATTCCAGAAATAGAAAGATTTCAGTGTAGCTGGAGTGGTCTGCGCAGTGGTCATAGCAGCATGGCTTTCTCCAAGGCAGAAGAGACCCAAGCACACGTGGTTACCTACAGATGTGTCTGGGTGGCTCAGAGGTGGTACCATGGCCGGCGCTCGTCTGCCAGGCATGCGGTGAACGGTGCACTGTGCTCCTTATAGCTCCCTGTAGCCTCACAGAAATAGAGGATGGAGGAAGGAAGAAAATCCTCCCAAATCAAACAAACTGAAAAACCACTCACCATGAGACCAGGTGGCCCACGTGGTCCCTGAATGCCTTTGAAACCAAGGTCTCCTGGGGGGCCCTGCAAGTAAAAATGAGGTTTCAAGTCCCCTTAATAAACATACTTCATGTTTATGCTCTTGCTTACAGCTCTACTGCAAGGACAGAGGTGCTGCTTCTTGCATATGGGAATGGGAAGGTCCAATTTTTTAAAAATTCTTTCCCCACTCCTGTTTTGCAAGCCCTTTACTTTCTACAGAAAACAAAGGGGTCCCCCTTCACTAGGAAAATTATATGCTGATAAAATGAGTCTAAATTTCAAATCAAGGCTCTCAACATCAGGAATGCATATTGGTGTCTCAGGTACAGACTGACGACTGATGCTGGGAACACAAGTGTCTGAAAGATGTTCAGGTGGGGAAAACAGCTCTGGGGTCTTAACGACAGCCCTTTTCCCTCAACCATCTACCCATTTTCACAGGAATAAGCTCCAACAAAGCACTCGTAAGCACACACTCATTTAACAAATGAAGATGCATAAAGAAAGTTGGAATCATGACTCATTTTCCACAGTTTCTGCTAATAACGTCTTTGCAACAAGTATTGCATTGTCTGTCCCCAGTAAAGAGAGACTAGAATGCCAACTGGTCACGAGACAGCCTCTTACCTTTGGCCCAAACAGGCCCGCAATCCCTGGAAATCCTGCCTCACCAAAGTCGCCCTGCAAATAACAGCCAAGACAAATACAAGAACAAAGAACAACAGTTAGTTCACATTGAATGGCTGGTCACTCGAAGACATGCCAAGGGGTC